GCGTATATGCAAGAGGGGCCACGTACTTTGCAAGTCAGGTACCAGAAACAGAACGGCCATTCCCAAAGGCTGCATGTGCCGAGGTGCTGATGACAGTGCTCAGGGCCTGCATGTGCTTCCGCCTGGATATGCATCGGTCTCTCTCGCCTTGAGAACTTGTCACCCACTCTACTCGATGTTGCATCCTGGCGTCGTCAATGATGTCGATAACTCATATGAACAGTTGTATATTGGGCAGGCCGTCACTGGCGGTTGCCTCGTGGTGGCCCGTTTCTATGTATGCGTCTCCACAGCTGTAGAAAGCTTTGACTCCGATGTCTCTCGATATGCCGTTGATCGCGGGGTTCGTGACGATGCATCGGAGATGGACTCGTATCGTATAGCTCGGGGAGAGACGACTCCGCTGAAAAGTTAGCACTCTGCAACCCTGAACGGGAACTATCGAGGCCACTTGGTACTGACCTCTGGCCATGTGTACCAATGCTACGGAGTAGTTTAGTATGTCATTGAGCTTGCGCCTGTTGTCTGACCAAACTAGGTACCTATGTGTTAGTTGGTTTGTATGTAGGTAGATACTTGCACTTTCCATGATGGCGGCATCCCCATCTCAAAGCAGGGATTCTTGGAATTGCAATCGTCGCCTTGTTGCGCGTTCACGCTGATCTGGGTACAGTGCAGGTCAATCAGGTGCGAGCCTGGCCACATTATCCCCCCCTGCCAGAGACGATGAGAAGCGCATCCTGTGGCCCGCAAATTAGACAGCTTACTTGGCTGTGCGAATAGCCCCGTTGTGATCCATAGCCTGAAAGCGATGCTCGACGCCGATTCGCTTGCGCTGGGCTCGCCTGCATGGGCGTTTGGAAGACACGGAAGAGAGACCGGGGTTGGCAAGGGCGTGCGAGCGAGAGAAAACACAGTGTTCGCTAGACGGCCGGAGATGAGGGTGTGGAAAGTCGGATGAGAAGATCGCGAGGTGCTCAAGTTGTGAGGCGAGTTGAAGGTGGATTGTTGGGTTGGCATGAGGCAGATTCTGCTCTATTGTTTGGCCTTGCCTGCCCAAGTGCAAGGCAAGGTAGTCATTTCTTGCCCTGTCATGCCTTGCTCTTTCCATTTTCCTGGCGACCCCTCTCGAACACGCATTGGTCCGTGAGGAAGGAGGCAGGGCGGCTTCACAGCCAGTCACAGGGCCGGAACCGCTTCTGAGCCTCCCATAGGCGGAGATTGGCGCTCTTATCGCGACTTTTCCTCATCACTTGCTCTCAGGAATTACTCGTGCTGCTCGAGTCGGCGCATCGTGTTTCCTCCCATTTCGCCTCTCTTCTCCGCTTACTGGTCGCTTGTGGATTGCTCCGATGAGCTTTAAGCTCAACGCAACGGTTATTATTGGCAAACTGCCTAATCTCGGCGAACGAGCGAGCACTGGCCTCTGCTGCCCACGGCTGCCCACGGTATGAGGGGCCTCGCCAATCCTCGAGTCTCCCGCGTCGACGAGTCGCATCGCGGGCCTGTCCGCTCCACTTCCGGGTCCTACAAAACTCCTCCATGCATCCTGTATGTATGTATGTACGTATGCACATATTGTATGCGCATGCAGGTGGGGAGAGGACTTGTCCCTGGCAAATCACCAGCCATCGATCAGCATCTCGGCGTTCAGCAGCATCCGACACCATTGGCGGGCGATTGGTGACCTCTTGGCTTCTTCGTTGGCAATTGCACCACATGCCGTCAAGGGAGAGCACGCTGTTATTCTAGTCACAATGGCTTCACGAGATTGCAAAGCCCCAACAGGATACTTATCCTGCCTTGTGTGGCTTGGTAGGACTCCCCGGCGCGGAAGATATTACCTGACAGCCCAGGACCTGTCAGCAATGACAGATTTCTTGTGTGCACCTCATGTTACTGTCCAACTCAGCCCTAATGGAAGCAGGGACGGGAAGCAGCCGGCTTGAGTCAAACGTCCCTGTAGGCCATGACAGGACACACTGTGGCAAACAGCACCACTAGACGGACACGGGAGAGCCATCGTCGCACAGGGTCAGTTTCTCCGGTCTCTTCGAAGCTGAAATAACAGCCAATGGCGCACAAGAATTGGATCTAGACCGCAAGGTTTCTTCGTATTGCGTTGGCGCGGTAAGTCATATTATATGCTATTTGTGATTGTGTGATTGATCAAACAAGGTGGCTCCTGGCCAAGCGGAAGCTCTGTCTGGTCGTGGAATAACCTGAGATTGGCCACCTCACCTCCTGTGCTACATACAGTCTCCGAAGCGCTCATTGTCGACGAGTCGAGGTTCCGTTCTGTGCTGGCATGAGCGTGACGAAAATGCAAGGTCCGCCTTGTTCTAACGCCTCAGAAGACATTGTTCAAGTATGGGCAGAGCAATCATATCAGCAGAAGCAATTGGCCAATGTCTTCTCGCCGAGATACATATCAGTTTGTGAGGTCTGGTAATCAAGCTGGTGCAGAAAATTCGCACACCACCCAATGATGAGCATTGCGACGCTCACAGTCAACATGCAGAACACTGTACTCAGCTCCACGCACCAGTAGGTATGTATGCCGGCTGATTTTGACTATGTACAACCGGCTGAAAACTTTTTCAGTGTTTCTCGGGTAGCCTTTCGAGAGGCATGGCATGAACTTACAAAGGTTCGTGTGTGTCCCCTGAGGCGCAGATCATACTCGTGCCGAACTCGTACAGTATTCCCTATGCCGCCTTTTGTGTAAGTGGCTGCTGGGCTGCCAGCTAATGGTCAAAGGGCCCAAGGGTGGAAGGCTCATCATACTCGCATGAGAAGCTCCAAGGAAACGCGCATCACTCGCAGAACATAGCTGACATTGGGCACAGACATCCCGTGAGGCAGAAGGAAATCTTTGTTGCCAGCCAACGTCTTCTGTCATCTGTCTCTAGTCGAGCGCCACACTGAGCAGTCATGTCTCTGACAGCGGCCGCTTATCCCAAACATCGCCCGAAAGCAGCTAGATGAGATCGTCTTTCTTCAGCACGGACCTAATAGCCTATTCTGGGATCATTCCCGTGCCTCTGGCTGTTCCGCCACCCCACCTTGGTCGCCTGGTGCCCTTGGCCCTGAATCTCTCGTGGCCCTTAGCCATTCTGCAGCAGAGCGCTGCCGAGCTGCGTTTCCCTGGTGGAGTTCAAAGGCCTCTCTTTCCCCGCTCGCCTTCAGGACGGAGGCGATTGGGATGGTGCGAAGGAAAAAAAGGCCCCTGGTCGACAGCCCGACAGAGCCCCTAAGTGTTTGACCCAGCAGCTTCGCCTGCAAGGACTACTGCTCCGTACATCTATCGTATGTACTCGTACGAGTACATTACGGCCATTATAACAGATGGCACTACTATTGCTTCGTGCCTGGACTCGTACGAAAGACCCTCGGCGAGCTTGAGCCCGTCGCCCGTCGCCCGGAACGCCCCCACCGCCACGAGCTTACTTGGGGCAAGCCAGGAACGGCACGCTTTTTTTCAGGGGCCGCAGCCCTTCTCGCCATTGTCGGGTTTGTGGCTTTCCTCATGGCTGCGCTGCTCTGCTTCAGCTCAAATCATCCAAGGAGAGAGAATGGCTCAGCATCTAACAAGCATGTGTGCTGCTTGCTGATTTGCCGTTTGCCATGCTGGTAACATTCTACAGAGGCACTAGGAGCTCCCGAAAAGACATTACTGGCCGGTCCCCCCAAGAGTGCGCGACCGCCGCTGGGCATCGCCAAGCGCCTTCGCAGCTTGGTACGCCTTTCTCCTCGACAAATTTGCACCCCCCTTGGCCCAGTACCTCTCCTGTACAATGTACGCGTACTGTATCGATGGCTGTCCAACACTGCCACTAATTGCCACTAAAGCATTGTGACGACGCATGAGAGAGCGTTACTACTACCAAGAAGAGCCCCCGCCGTGCTCCCCCCCAATCGTGAGGAACAGCTGCTCTAAGCCGCAGCGTCCCTGTGCCTGCGAGATCCTTTGGGTCCTTCATTGCATCTCGCCAAAGAAACATCCCAGAAAAGGGTGGAGAGGACCCATTGGAATCTCCCCTTGTGCGAGGCCCTAGCAAACCAAACAAGCCTTGCTTTGGCCCCTGTGACATCTCATCACCTTGTGGATGCCCTCGTACCCTCAGTCCAGGGTCGAGGGCTCCAGTTGGCCAGAGTGCAAGCACTCGTCTGCTCGCAACCTCAGAAGCTCCGGTGCGGACGACGAAGACCCCCCCCCTGTCCAGCTTTCCGAGCCCATGGAGCTCCACAAAACTCACGACCCTACCAGGAACACCAGACCCCGGCACTCTGCACCTGCAGGGGTCTGCCCGTCCTCTTGGTCGACTGAACGTTGTATTCGAGACTAGTTTCCTGGCCTGGCAGCTGCTGCTCGACAGAGTCCCTCTGCCTATCGAGCCAGGAAGTACTTTATGACCCGCATGCCCTCTCTTCATGCCTGGATGCCGTCGTCTCCGTTAAGATCTTGGGTTTGGGCGAAACTCGGGTTCCTTCCGTATTCTTATCTTCATACCTCTTTGTTCTTCGTGTCTTCCTTTTTCCATCATTGGATAATAACGCTCTCTTCTACTTCGCTGGATAACACCGCACACGACCGTATACCTTTCTTTGCCTCACTATGCTGTGATACTACCACGACTGCCTGCTACCTATCAAAACACGCCTGCCGCAAGGTCTGAGGATTCATCACATCAATCGATTGTAATACGCCGCCTTCGGATGGCTCGAACCACTTGATATACTGGGTCATATGATAACGCATCTGTTCGACTGTGCACGAGACATCACAGCGCTCCGAGTACCACGATTCACCAGTGACATTGACGGCCCCTCTTCTTGATTTCGCATTTCGACGATCGATTGTTCAGCTCATCACTCGTACATCTCGGGGCGCACCGGGAAAAGCGACTATCGACGAGCCTCCCCAGGAGGGATACTTATTTCTCGACGACACCCTCTATCTTTCCAAGGCTACCTTTGCGGAACATCCCTTTCCCACCATGGCCAACATCACAGGCATCAACCTTTGCCCTGCTCCATTCTACGATGCGAGTCTCTTTGGTGACAGTGGAGGGTGTAAGTAGAAGTCATTGCCCAAGCACGGCGTTGTTGGGATTGGTCTGCTGACACCGAGATGCAGACATCAGTGGCCGACTCTGCCAGACGATTGCCGGCTCGGTTCAATGCTGCTTACCCTGCCCCATGACGGATTGGGTATACCCAGACAGCTTCACTACCATTGGCACCGTAGCCAACTGGATCGCAACCGCCAGTGTCATCTGCTGTGTTTTCCTGCTGGCTTCATGGGCAGCGTTGCCGGTGGACAAGACGAACCGGCACTACCTGAGCATCTGCTTTACAATTGGCATCCTCATCATGAATGTAGGTAGAGCGGACGACGGTTCCACGAGGAGGGGGTTTTAGGGTCGTTGCTAACTGCTTGCTCAGCTGGGTTTCGTCATTCCGCTCGCGGCTGAGCCGGACCAATGCTTTGATGCCATCACTCCCAACGACATGCACACGTTGAGCGTCTGCGGAGCGTCTGGTGCGATGCTGATCCTAGGAGGCTGGTGCGGCGTCATGTGGGCGTTTCTTCGCTCTCTGTCCCTCCATCTCCAGATCTGCTGGCAGGTTCTCGTCGGCCGCAACTTCATGATTTTCGCCCAGGCTGCTGGCTGGGGCATCCCTGCCATTGGCATCATCCTCGCTCTGGTCTTCAGTGGCGTCTCTTTCCGGTTCGGTGCAACATGCCACATCAACCACAAGAACAGTCTGGCAGATCTCTGGATCCCACTCCTCATCTTTGCCAGCATTACCGTGGTGACGACGTTCGTTACCTTTGGCTACTGCATCAAAGTCTACCTGGCCTCGCTCAACGACAACTCCGCATCGACCGAGGGATCCAACCTCCCGACTTACACAAACAGCGTCATCACCATGTCTCCGCGCCAAGCTTACCGCCGAGTCCGACGAGTCATTGCACTTCAGTGGAGGGGCATTGCCATTGTCCTCATCATCATTGCCGACGTCATTTTCTTCTCCGTCGTCTTCGTCTTCCAGGACAACATTGTCCAATCCATTGCCGACGACCCCAAGGTGGCCCAGAACTGGATCGTCTGCCTTATCGGGGCCCAGGGCGACAAGACAAAGTGTCTGAATGAAGCCGGCTCCCTCGTCGTCAGTGAAGCGACAGTGTCCGCCGTTCTCGTCCTGCTTTCTGTAAGTTTTTTTTCCCCAACAGACTCGAGACGCATTCTAAGCACCAAACTCCATCAATTACTGACGCGACCGGCATCTAGCTGAACGGCATCTGGATCCTCTTTCTCCTTGGCCGATGGACCATGGTCACCGGCTGGATTGATTTGGTAAAGTCTCCGTTCAATAGCAGGAAGAAGGAATTCGTATCGGTGGATGCCCGATATCAAAGCCAGAAAGACACACGTTCGTACGAGATGCTCTCCAGAGATACGAGCGCCGCGGTAACACCACTTGATCCAGTGAAATCCTCTGCGGGCCCCCAAGCCCCCGACTACTTTGGCGACACCGCCAGGTATCACGCGCCAGCGCGATCGTACTCGAACCCGCGGCCGCCGCACAGCTCCCTGCCCGAGTGGGATGCGCAGAAGACATACGCCGCCCCGCAAGGCCGCGATATGAACCCCTTGGGGATGAATCGCATATAAGATGCCGCGCTTTACTTCGGCCGATGAGAAACAAAAGACAATATCACCAAGACAAAGAAAAATCCAATGCCTCAGTAGGAATTTTGAGACAATAAGAGCGATGAGTATCCTGAAGGGACGTGGAGAGGAGGAAGAATTGGGGAAATTCGTCCCCCACAGCCAAACGAATGGACCCGACAATGGACTTGACCTTGCTTATATACCCACTCCATGGCTGGCTATGGAAACGACGACTACGCCCTGGAGGTGACGCCACATGTCGGGTATCTCGCGATACGGCATGATGCTGCGTCGAACGACGCTCCTTACATCTTTTACAATAATACCACCTATCCATCTGCCATAGACCGCGTGGAAACTCAACGTTTCTACTTGCAGTCTAACGGCTTCCTCTCTTGGACACAGGACAGCGCGGCGCCACGGTCAACTTTTTTCGTTTGTACATATTAGACCCATCTTTTACAGCTCTTTTATTCTTGTCACTCCTTACGCACTCCTTATGGACAAGGAAACGGCGCGCTGTCATGAAGCGAGGGTCTGGATCTGAAGCCTTCTGAGGAAAGGATCCTGCCCTCCATAGTCTCCAAGCGGACTTTTCCCTGGTGTGGCTGGGGGCAGACTATTCTGAGGGCATTGCATGCACGCCTGCTGATCAGACAGCGTCTTTGGCGGCATCTTATGATATTACATCATTTGTGCGGGAAAGGTGCTATGAGGACGGGACTGCAAGTAAGCTCGAGGGGCGAAACGATCTGGGACGCGGATCGACGCGGAACTAGCTGAAGCGCATCCGGAGGCGGCGGATGGCCGGATTGGCCGCGCAGGAGCCGAGAGAGAGTGAGTTGGAAGGGGGGAGAGAGGACAGAAAAAAGGAAACGGAAGAAAGAAAGATGTGCTAGTGCCTGATCGGGGGATTGGTAGCTGGTTCTTTGAGATGGGATTACTGTCAGTCAGTAAGAGGTTGTTGACGGGCACGACGCGCATGATTGCTACACAGCATACAATTTGATGTATATATATATGCCTACTATTGCTCTGTACTTGTGAATTAACGATTTTCGGAAGTGATGAGAGTCATCTTGCTACCTACCTAGGTCGAGATATTGGCAAATGCTTTTTTACACGTCGACTTCGCAAATGATGGGTGTCTTGTAGGTAGGTAGATTGTGTCAGATGGCTAGTACCTATAGGGGGTGAAGATGGATGTTGAAGTGAGTGATCACCCACTCGTACCTACTTAGCCCTACTGGGTGCCTGGGTACCTATGAAAGTACTAGGTAGCAGTGTCAAAACTCCGAGCCTTCACCAGCTGCTTCAACTTCGAATATACGCGTAAATGCGTACCTATGGCAGGGATTGCTATGGTGCGCGCATGAAAGTAGGTACCCATTCGCCGAGGTGGGACGATGGGTAGGTAGGTAGGTATTAGGCATGGAGCATCGGACAGGTGACAAATGCCGAAACTGCGCTGTGGTTTACTTACCTACCTAGTACCTTTGTCAAAGTACTAGGTAAGGTGAGGTAGGATTGTGAGTGAGGTCACTATTCAATTGCCATTCCATGGACGGAATAGCAGACACCTACGGAGTACCTACCTGGATTATGACATATAGTATTTGTGCCGGGTTCTCCGGATCAAGGCCCGCAGGTGCGATTGGCCCGAGGGCATCTGGCGGTAAAATGCTATAAGGTTCCAGCTGCTGCTGCTGCCGTTGCCGTATTTATTCATAATAACTCTAAGCCGTGTGATTTTCATTTATTCATTTTGATGATTCCTCTTTTCCCTCTCTCTTGTTTCTTGATTCCCGGTCCTGCTTTTGATCCCCTTCACCCCCTCCCTCTGCTGCTGGTGTTTTGTGTGTCGTGTCACAACGGACCGGACCCTTTTCTCTCGATCTAGGACTTTTCCCCCTTCTTCTTGTGGTCCTACAGGTCAGATCTATTCGGTCTTTGTGGCTTGATCACACTCATTTCTGGTTGAGACGAGAGCGAGAGAGCGAGCCTGACGACTTCATGAGCGTTTGGGTTCGGGTGTGAGCACGCGACAGCAATTGATTCGCCCAACGCTGGAAGTCAACCCCGCCGCCACACAGCCAGACGCGACGATATATTACTAGTAGACCGAGAGAAGAGTAGAGAAGGGAAAAATATACACAAGAGAGACAAGGGAAAAGAGGAGAAAGAACAAAAGGGGAGAGAAAGGTGAAAGAGTGAAAGAGGAGGCGAGCATCGAGGAGCTGGCCGATTGTTTTACTCTTCTTTGCCTCACAGACGGGAATCTCGGCTTCTGTTGTTTTGGTAGGTCGTGTAAGCGACCGGAAGGATCCAGGTTTCTTTTGACACAACGCCTGGGGAAGCATCAATATGGCGGCGGACGCCTTAGTCAGCGGCAACACGGACGATGCCAACAGCTCCAGCTCCAGCTCCAGCTCCAGCTCCAGCTCCAGCTCCAGCCATAATAACCACCTGAACACACACGACAAGGACAGCGAGAAAACCGCCTCGCGCTCGCAGCCCGACAAACCCGAGCGCCATGTGCACTGGAGCCAATCGGTCGACGACCACGAGGACGCTTCGGGCGTCAACGCCGAAGAGGGTCTGCCGCTGTTTGCTCCACCCGCAGCGAGCAACGCCAACGTCTCCCGGGCATGGGCCAACAAGCGCAGCGCTTCGTCGTCGCGGAGGCTCTGGGCCTGGTCGAAGCTGAGGGCGAGGTTCACCATGGCGATGCTGTTCCTGCTGCTGCCCGCGGTGCTGTATCTGGTCTTCCTGTGGCTCAGGGAGCAGGATCTCAACGCCAAGTGGCAGCCCGATCGCGAGTCGCTGCTGTTCAACAGAAAGCCGTTGCCGGCGCCCCTGGAGAGGACGTGGATCTCGAGCTACAAGCTGCCGCTGCGGACGGAAGGGCGGAGCATTGTTGACACGGACGGCCGTCGATTCAAGCTGTCGTCCATCAACTGGTACGGCGCCAGCGACGAGCTGTTTGTCCCCGGCGGATTGGACGTCCAGCACCGCAGCGTCATTGCCGAGACGATCAAAAAGATGGGCTTCAACAGCGTCCGACTGCCGTACGCGGACGAGCTGGTCATGAAGAATCCCGTCATTGAGCCGGGGCTGGTGCTTGCGAACCCGGATCTGCAGGGCCTCCGCGCCATGGACATCCTGGAAGCGGTGACGACGGCCCTGACGGATGCTGGCATTGCCGTCATCATCAACAACCACATCACCCGCGCGACGTGGTGCTGCGGCGCAGACCCGTGCGATGCCGGCTGGGCAAACGATCACCTGGGCCCGCTGTGCGCTGTCAAGCAGACGGAGGAGGAATGGATCCAGCACTGGGAGGAGGTCATGGGGCGGTTCGTCCACAACCCGCTCGTCATCGGAGCCGATCTCCGCAACGAGGTCCGAGGTCTCTGGGGGACCATGCCCTGGTCGAAATGGGCCGCCGCTGCCGAGAACTGCGGCAACCGGCTGCTCAAGATGAAGTCGGACTGGCTCATCATCGTCGAGGGTACCGAATCGGCCAACGACGTCTCCGGCGCTCTCGACCGGCCGGTGCGGCTGGACGTGGAGAACAGGGTCGTCTACTCTGCGCACGGCTACAAGTGGTCCGGCTGGGGCAGCTGGCAGGGCCGCTTCGCTCAGCGGAGCTACAAGTCCTTTGTCAAGACGATGCGGCGCAACTGGGCGTATCTGCTCGAGGTGGACATTGCGCCGGTGTGGTTCGGCGAGCTGGGGGCGCCGAGCAACCCTTCTGTGGGCGACGTGCACTACTGGAGCAACCTGATGCGCTATCTCAAGTCGATTGACGCGGATTTGGGATACTGGGCGCTGAATCCGAGGAAGCCCAAGGGCAATGAGAAGGAGACTTATTCGCTGGTGGAGGATGACTGGGTGACGCCGGTGCTGGACTATCGGATGAAGGACTTGCAGGAGCTGATACGGCAATGAGGGATGCTATGAGTATTGATTCTCATGCTACCATTTGTTTTTCTTTTTTTCTGTGTGCGATTGACTCCTACTGGGCTGGAGTTTTATCTGGATGTTATACCCAAGGTGCCCTGCCATAGTACTTTGACGAGAATATGCGCGACTGCACTTGAAGGCGTTGATTCGGGGTTTTGAGCATGAATGAGGATGGAAGGCTCTGTAGCGACAACTTGTATATATATACATATATATACCACTCTCTCTTACAATTCAGTATACCAACGCCTTACTTGAATATCAGTCAATAGGATTGATTGAGCTGCTGCGTCCTTGTTTGATATTGGAAGAGGGCTCTCGGATGTCAGTGACGCCATCGTGGGTTTACGGTGCTTTATCGATAAAAGTAGCACAGTGACCTGACATCGCTTAACTGTGGGGTTGCAGCCGCAGTATCACTCAGTGGCTTCTGGTCCTCGAAGAGCTTCAACGTTTTGTCTCCCCCCACCGTCTCTTTTTGCTCTGTAACTTGCAATTAGGAATCCAACAAACGTCTCTCTGGCAGATTTGGGTCAAGACTCAGTCTTTCAATTGCATCGTCAACAATTCATCTGTCGCCGCCGCTCGCTTATTTATATGTTGCGAGATCGCGCAGTCCGCCCGCACCGGCGAGGCTCTCTCCCACTCAACCGCCATGGATCGCCATTCGAGCAAATTGCCGGCCCCTAGCTTCCGCACCGTTTCCGTGGGGAGATGCTATGTGCAGACAGCGACCGATAGAGTAAGTCTTCCATTGGGGCTCGTCTGTTACGGAGATGCGGTCCGGAGAACTGCGCGCCGCTGTAGGGTTAGAGAGTCGGAATGGCTGACATGTGATGGACCGACGAAACGATAGTTTGGCAATGATGCCAAGGGCGCGATTCGAGATCGAGAACGAACGGCGTTGGGAATGAACCCGGAGGGCATGGAGGCGCCGTTCAATTGGCCGAATATCGATGGACAGGATGACGGGCATTCGCAGGATTCCATCTACCGGCTGGTCCCGAGCATGCAGGGCTATCGGAACAACTTGACTGCGCTGTCGCAGGCTTACAATGTATGTGCGCATGGGTTGGGAGAGTCGCTTTCTGCGAACAATGGCACCGGCTAACGAGGAATCCGAACTTAGCTCTACTTTGTCGCCTACCAAGGCCACATCTTTGTCTATGTCCCCCGAAGCATACCGAAACAGACGATACCCCGACATCCGGACCTGCAGATATATGCTCCCCCGAGTCAAGAGGCGATTTCCATTGGCGGCTGCATCGATCCCATCACTCCGCATACCATCAATCACATCATTACCGGATACCTTGGGAAAGAGGAGATTCTGGTGGCTTGCTACGACGATGGAGATGTGGTTGCGTACTATGTCAGGGAGATTGCGGCCTTGGCATCTCGGACTCAGAAGGCGTCCCAGCGAGGGTGCCCCAGTCGCCCCCCGAGGCTCTTCTTCCACGAGAATGTCGGCCAGACGGCCTGGGGCCTGGCCATACATCGCAAGTCCCGGCTGATTGCCGTGAGCACGAATCGTTACGAGGTGACGGTCTTTGCGTTTGCGCTTTCCACCTGTCAGAAGAAGTCAAAAGACGTACGCGAATTCTGCGACTGCTGCAAGAGCAACGACAGTACCAGGCCGAGCGTGCCCCGGAGAGCCCGGAACTGGAGGATTGTTGTGGCTCTCGGGAGCCACGCGTCCAACATTCCCAACATCTGCTTCGTTGACAGTGCGGATGGCCAGGCTGAGAAGGTGTGCGCGATAGATATCAAGGGGGTCATGTGGATGGCAGATATATGGCAAATGTTTCAACCTGTCACGCAAGTGCCTCCGTCTAGGCATCTCATATTGCAAAGCGAAGAGTTTTGGCCAGCATCCTCAAGGTACGCAAGTCGTCTCCAGATTGCAACGACCAGAGTGAAGCGAGATGCTGACGAGGGCTTCGTCCTCTTCCCAGGGGTTGGGGAGTCATGGCTCTTTCCGAAGAAAGCTTCGTGCCAGTCGACACCATCGACGAGATGCTCGGGCTTCCCGAGCAGGCGCTCAACGTCTTCCAGCCTGGGTCGGGGTGTCCGCAGCCGATGGTGAATGTGGCCGAGTGCCTCGCAGCCATCCCGGACAACCCATGCCCCCCTCCCACGCTGGGCGGCAGGGCCGGTCAGTTTTACCGCAACATCCTGAACATGTCGCATGACGAGTCTTTACAATTTCTCGTAGGCGAGACGGTTGCCGCCAATGATATGCTCGAGGGCGGCCAAAGCGACGATAGCGACGGCGAATCTGAAGCGTCTGAAGACATATCGCATGTGCTCGGGGAGGAAGACGAAGAAGAAGAAGAAGAAGAAGACGAGGATGATGATGATGACGATGATGAAGAAGAGGAGGAGGATGAAGAAGAGGAGGGTGCGGATAATGAAGTAGAAGATGGACAGGACAACGATGACGAGGCATTGGAAGAAGAGGCCGAAGAGGCTGAAGAAGTTATTGTTGCTCAGGGAAACCCCGAAGTTATTGCCGCAGACCAGGGCGGCAGTGCAACCCTCTTTCCGACACCACCGGTGGGACAGCAATTCCAGCAAGCGCTGCAGGATCTAGACATAGCACTTGGACAGCTAGCTTATGCTGTACAGGAGTTCCAGGAGGCCATCTCAATCCCGGATACTCCCAATCCAGCGTCAACCCAACCTCAGGGCTCACAGAACCAAGACAGCCCGGGCCCTATTTCTGAAAGTAAGATGAATTCTGACCCAATGGTGTTTGGGCAGCGGAGCCACAGACACCTCAGCTCGCCTCCAGTTCGACTCGACATGGCTTTCTTTCCGCATAGCGGCAAGATTCAGGCCGTTCCACGGTCCACGCCGCAACTCCTCGAGTTTCTCAGGCGGCCGATCGAGTTCAATGACAATGTTGGACCGCCAGTGGAGGAGCGCCTCAAGAAGTTGACCAAACGATATCACTTCATCCGCACATTCGAAAAGGATCTAGAACTTCGGAGTCTCCGGGGCCCCTACGAAACCGGCCACAGGGAGATTGGCGTCTTGTGTCCCGACGCGCTCACGCTCGGTTGCTTCCAGGAGCGAAGTATCCGGCCCTACTTCCGCGCAACTAGCCGCCTGAGCCTGATGTTTCATGTGCCAGAGCTGTCTCTGGTCGTGGTAGGATCGCCCATCGGCCGAGTTCTCCTGGTTACTCCAACGAAGCTCAAGACGCCGATTGCAGCAAAGACGGCGGCGGGCATGTGGCATCACGGGCTTCGGGTAGAGTGCGTCCTGCCTCGATTGTCGGACGAGCAGGCGCATCGACAGGTGTTGCGGCCGTTGCACGGGCTGGCGGTTGGGCCGGTGCAGGACGACGATGGCATGGGTGGCCGTGATGGTGTGGCAGGACGAGCGACGGCGCCGAAGAGGTATAGGCTGATGCTGCATTATCGAAATCACGACATCTTGACGTATGAGATTACGAGAGAGGAGCAAACGGGACGGCTTTGCATTTTCTGAGCCAGTTTGATATCATCAATCATGACTGAAATTGCCCGTAGCTGGGCTAATCTTGCATGCTCTCTTGCACTGTTTTTTGGCTGTACCAACGTACGGCAGAAGAAGCTGTTCCCCATCCAATGTTTCATTGGAAGTAGTCCGGGTTTTCAGCCTTGAAATCTGCTTCTACCTTTTTGATGAGCTGTTCTGCTTCCAAGCCCTTGAGCCCATAGCCCAGCCTCACTAATTCATATGTAAGTTCCTCTTCCATCCCTTTGAAGGAACTAATCTTTTCGACAAGCCCGTATATTCGAGAGGCTTTGCTCTCCAATACATCGGCAATCGAGCACTTGAGAGAGTTACCTTTCTCTTCAAGGCCTCGTTCAGCCTCTTGAAATTGTTGTCTATAGAGTAACCTCGCACCAACCTGCCTCGACACATTACGATGCGCCAAATGCCCCCCATCATGAAGTCTCTGCGCAATCGTGGTGTCTGAGGTGGTGATTGCAATGGGCATAGGGTAGTGAAAGACTTGCCAGGGGGCAGACTGGGCAAACTCCCAATCGATTACAGCAATGAAATTGTAATTATCGTCGACGAGGAGATTCTGAGTGCCCATGTCCATGTGAATGAAAGGGAAGAAGGGCCGTTGGTCACCTCTGTAGATGTCTGTGTCGCGCACGATACTTTGAAAGACAAGCGGGCCAAGAATAGCAAACCGATTCGTATAGCCGCTCTCGCTCTCGTCCTCCTCAGCGGATCGCTTGTTTTGAAGTGCTTCGGCCACGAAGCCTTCCGCCACGGCGGCAAAGTATTCCCATGCAGAATCGAATGGGCCGGGACTGGGAAGATGTTCCAGCCAAGATGTGGCCATGGGGCCAATGACGGGACCGGTCTCCTGTGAGAAATGCGAGATGGAGCCGATTTTCGGAAACGTCAAGGCTGCAAGTTGGGCTTGTAACGTCGTCCATTGTGCGAAGATGTGCTCCTGCGTCGAGATCTTTTCAGGAGGGGGTTTAGCATCTTAACCCCGCAAGAGGAGGGGGATGGCGAGGGCTCACGGGAAGATTGTAGATGTTGAGATTGACGTCTTGCAGGGAATTGCCATGGAAGCCCTCGATGAGCATGTACGCAGCGCCTGCGGCAATGGCCCTTGCTGACCCTGGCGCTTCATAGGCGTAGAGTCTGGGTATTGGAACTGCGGTGACTTTTGCATGCAGCAACTTCATTGTCGCAACCTCGCATTGAATGAGGTACTCGTCTGCTTCATCAGGGGCGCTGATGCTGCTTTCTGGATGTTTTGGTAGTCGGACTCGGGCGATGAGGAAGCGGGATTCATCATCGGCAGCGACGAGCTCGAAGCAGCACCAGTGCTGACCGGCGGAAAAGGGCTTGCTCATGGACGTGGGTGCATCGAGGACGGCTGAGGCGTGTTCTGTTATTGCTGCTTTGTTGATGGAGGACATGAAGGTCTGGAGACGCTGTTTCATTCCGCCGTAGTTCCAGTCGTCGTATGATGTCCAGCGTTCGCTAGGCAGCCGTTTCTTGGGGGCTGCCATATTGCCAGATGTAGTGCTCTTGGATGGGAAATGACTGTTGGAGGTTGTGTGTCTTGAGTAGTAGCCGAAGAGGATTGAGGTCTGCTCGAGGCCCCCTATTGCTACTCTTGAGTGAGGCTCATGTATCTTAGGAATGTATGCTTCGTCATTTATCCCACCTCGTACCATCGTTACCCTGACTCATACCGTATATACCCAACATACCCCTTTGAGTACTGTAGGTTGGAACTCAAGGCAGGTAACGGCCCGTGCGAATGTCTGTCTGGGGGTTCATCTCAGCAGGTTGAGGACATGTAGTATAGCACATTCAGCAGATGCCTTCCACCATTGGCAAGCTTGGAAATCAAGCCCAGCTTCCTGTGCATGATGAGTGGCACTACATTGTTCTGTAGCGTACTTGATGCCTACCCGACGCTGATGACCTTTGAATTGCAGTAGTCTTCCAATTGCCAAGCGGTAAGTCAACCTGTGTGAATTCTGGTGACGTCCGCAGGTCTCAGCCTCTTCAATCCAGCCCAATTGCCTCTTCTAGAGCAGCCATGATGACCGAGGCTTGATGTCCAAAGCTTTGACCGAGAGAGAGAGAGAGAGAGTCATTTACCTGGCAGAAGTGCAGGTCAGCATCAGCTTGATGAAGATTTTGAAGGACAAACGCCAATATCTGGTGCCCTTACGAGTGGTCATGGCCTTGGCAGAAGCGAACTTTTCTTTGTTTATTCATAGGTAGAGAGCTCCAACACACCCGTAACAACCTCATGTTCCGCTAAAGATTCATCAGGACAAGAAAGCTGCTACGCTGATAAGCACGGTGATTTAACGCTGTTTGATGAAAGTTTGGCTTTATGTAACCAGGCTACCTGGAGCGATTGTAGATGGAAGCATTTAACTTCAGGATAATACTTCTAGATCAAGGTGAGCCTTATCAACCGATGTAGTTGCATCCAGGCCAGATTGATTTTTGATACTCAGGTTAAAGAAACTTTGTTAACACAAGGACACAATCCCTTTTTGAAGAATACTCCAAGCTGATAATTTGAGCCAGGTTTGAGAAAGAAAATAGGCCAGCCAGACATGTGAACTGAAGTCATGTTCTCACTTAAAGCCTTCTTATCGAATTGTTTAAGCACTAGTATACCAATGAGCCGCCCCCGGAGGAGCTTTACTTCTGGATCTAACCTTGCTTACTTCCTTGCTACCATGGCTGCTTGCCAATATAGTTACAAATACACTATTCTCAACAAGGTCAGTCATGGAATTTCATCTACGAGACACAATTGGAAGTATGTGGCATTAGTCACGTTAGCCTTAAGATTCCAGTTCTAACCAACCGCAAGTCAGTCATTATGGTGGTACCTTTCGCTTGGGCATCATGATAGCTGATCTGGGCGAGTTTCTAGGCGACTCTCTGGTCTGTCTTCTGGTAGAGATGATCTGCCATTTGCCATGACATCTTCGAGTGTATGTCATGATGCTCCAGCAAATGCAAGTAATGCTACTTCTTGCTCCTGTAAGAACAAAAACAGGAAAAACTGCCAAGGCGGCTCATGGACGGCGATCCGGGCGATTGTTGACGCGGGCTGCTGTCTTGGCTTCTTGGGTCGGCTCCGCAAATCGCCAAATCGGGGTTTCCCAAACGTAATGAGCAAGCGGGCCCGTGATTGGCCGGGCTGTCGCCTGATAACGGAACATGGGGCTCGACGTTTCCATGCTTGAATTGAAACCCGCGCCGCCGAGATGATGGGCAATCTTTCATGTGCTTCTTAACTGCTTTCTATATGAGATTTGCACGGCTAATAAGGCAGTGGCTTCTTTGGATTCCTGAAACAGGGGGCCGATGCGTTAACGGGTAACCGAGGATCGAGAGCTTTGTCCGGACGCGCGGGATCGATGATATGGGGGGGAATGAGGAGGCGGGGGCGGAAGAGAGAGGATATTGGACTGGGGTAATACTATCTAACTGTTGACTCGAATCTCTTATTGTGCTTCTGGGTTCCGGTTTCCATTCTTTACGTGCACATGAAGTGTTGCTCTGTTGTGTCCTCATACGTAGTGGTGATATTATGGATGAGAAAATGGGGGGTTTGGCTCTGCAAAGATCAGCTGGAGATTATTGTCCCTCTCCCTTCCCCTCTCCCTCTCTGCCTCTCTCCCTTTGGGGTTTTCTTCATCCTTCCCTCTTGATTTAGGCATGCTCATCCCGTGGCCGCAGCATCGGTAACACTTCTCCCCTCGATAGAGTTGTCATACGCGATGTGGTGAAACGCACAATCCGCGGCTCATCGCCTTCTCAATCTGTAAACATGGTGGCAGCACGCTCGGCCTGTGTAGGCGATGGCTTGACGCCACATTGATGCTTTTTAGCATGGCAGTTGGTGGATAATGCCAGCTCTCTTGACACTCGACTAACGTCGATGGCGGACGCCCGAACCGGCCGGAACCCCTTCCTGACAGGCGAGAATGCGGTAACGGAGCCCATTGTTGTCTGCCTACTGTTACTGCTTGTGCTTGTATCACCGAAAGCCGGGGCCCAAGACTCCAGTCAGGCACGCGAGGAGACGCAGTCAGAAGCCAGGCAAAAGTAAGCAAAAGGGCGCGGCTGTTCGCTGCCCCCACTGGACAAGCCCCAACCATGCCGCTCCCGCCCCCGAAGAGTGGGCTTATCAGCATTTACATGATGGAGTGACGGCATGGACTAATACGGGGGGGGGGGGGGGGGGAGCAAAGCGGTAAGGTTATATACTGACTGGTACTACTACTACGGAGCTGGTACGAGCAGTTTCTTCTGTTCAGCACTTGGAAACTGAAGATACGGGGCTATCGAGAGGTAGCTGTAGGTACATGCCGAGGTGCTTCCATGCAGTCAGTCCCTTGTTGCTGCTGCATGTGGTGGGAAGTGCAAGAGTACGAGTATTTACCTCGCAGATGCAAGGAAGAAGAGAAGTATTCTAGTAATTCTTCGTCCCTTTGCTCGGCTTGTCGGCTCGGCTGTCTTGGGTTCTGGTCCTGTGTTTCGGGCTTCAGGCCGATCAACGGCGAGGAAAAGCCCCGAGTTGTCGTACAAGTACATAGTAGCATGTTTCAACCTGGCTGTCGTTCCTGAAATCTCATGACAGATTGGCTTCAGCGATACTAGACGAGACTTAATGATAGTTGATAGACACAGAAGAAAGAAGCCCGACGAAAATGTTCAGGGACGGCTGATTGGACATGCACGAGCTTATCCGGCTTCAGCCCAAACAACTGAAAAGTTCGCCAGCCATGGAACAACAGGCACCCCCTGTTTGCGGCCTCACCGATACTCCGCCGTGACTTGGCCAACCCGGCAATCTACGCCGCACTTGCATGTTCTATTGTTGTCCCGCGCTAGAGCCATTACCGCCTAGCGTTATCGGTCGGCATGCAGAAAAGATACCTGCCGGGACCGTACCGCCTGATTTCGATGACCGTATCTCTGGCCTGCCTGTTGTCGTTTGTCGTACGTACCGTGGATTATACACGCCCTACCTTATCTCTCATCTCACCCGTATCTCACGGGGCATTCAGGGACGAAGCGCCATGTACAGAACCTATCTGTATGTTGTACTCTGCGCCCTGTATTACGAGGTAGGAACTTTGGTACTTTCTATTGTGTGTGGTACCTAGGTACCTAGCTGAGAATCCGCGGCTCTTTCCACCATTGACCCAAGATTGTGTCTTGCTCTTTCCTCGAAATCGCCGATTACCTTAAGTAATGCAGAGCCCTACTTACCTACCTTACTAAGAGCCAAAAAGAGAGGAAGGAGAGAGAGAAACTACAAACTGAAAACCTCTTCTTCTCTCCATCAAACCTTCATCCATCATCTTAACTCGCTCCATATCAACAATCACAGGCTTCAACTGCTCAACTGTCGCTCCTACTTTATCTACGGCTTCTCGCCTCCATGCCAGCCATGCGGATTCGCGCCGCGCTTCGAACTAAGCCCTTAGCCCCAACATCCACAGCCCTCGCCCCGAGATAACGAGCAGTGAGATGAGATAGCACAACACCAAAAGCCACGCCCCGGATCCCTGTGGCCACACCCCCCCAAAAGGCCTCTCCGAGACGATGCCAATCTGTCGCTCACGCTCTGCTCTGGGAAACAGGCAACACCAGATGGCCCACCCCCGGTGTCTTATCTCTGGCCTCAGGCGGCCCTGTCTGGGGTAATTGGCTCTGGCTCTTTGTTGCAAGGGCCACGGCGCTGGGCTGATTGATGGAGGAGAGAAACAAGAGGCGTGGCGGTCCTTGACAGTGGCCCCAGCTGCTATTGCACCCGGTTTGTCGCCGTGCTGTCGAAATCGGAGCCTGCCTGGAGACGATTCACGGCGATGGTGTCTTGCTATATACCACGGATCTAAGCCTGTCTGTTATCTCCCTGCCCTCCTCATCCTCTTCCGTCCATCTTCCTATCTCGTCCCCTCGTCTGCTGCCATTGTTCTCTCCTTCCTTCCATCTCTCCTCCTTTCCTGCACGTCTTATCTCTTGGTCGAAACCCAACGAGGCATCTTACTTCTGCAACCTTATCAGAACACTTCGCTGTGCCTCTGCCTCCCGGAACCTCGCCTTGGCTGTGCCGGCATCCGACCAGTCTTCCAACTTCTCCTCGCCTCGTCTGACCTCCGCGCCGTATTACCACTCGCTCTCCTAGTCCTCGTGGCTGCTTTCTCCGACTTCTACTCGACGACTTCCCCAGATTTCGCTTAGCCCACCATGTCTTACGCCCACCTAGGGGCACCGACCGTGTTCAACGGGACAGGCTCCCTGGGCGGTGATGCCAGTATGTAAACCATCGTAGCCTTGCCTCGACCCCATGGCCATGTAGCACACGCTTCCCCATCTTTTCAACTCGCCCAATATGCAAGTCATTACCGCACTGATGAAACGGGCGCGAGAAACTGACAAGCCTTTGCTTCAGGAACCGAGAACCTGAACCAATGGTATCAGTCCGGAGACCAGGCCTTCATCCTCGTGAGCGCCTGCA